GGCCCGACGGAGCGCGGTGCAACAGCAACAATCCCCCGGACTCGTAGGCCACGGTAGGCGAAGTCACCGTGAGCAAGCTCGCTAGGGTCCTTCTGGAAACAAAGCTGAGAGACTGTAGATCCAATTTGTTCGGCAACTGCCTCGTACAGTTCCGCATCCTCGTTACATGTACCTCTAAGGAGGCATGCACCATCTTCTCTGACGATGAGCCATCTCTCCCAAGAAGAGCTGACTGGCACTGGCGGTTCATTGCGGGTCCATAATGGCCAGAGAGACCCGTAGGGTATGTCTCTCCACCTGGGTCTTGTGTCAGTGAATTGGACCTGGACAACCTGACCCGAGACAAGCTTATATGGGGTGCCGGCAGCCCAACCTACGGGACAGTTCTGCGTATAGACATTGACCCTAGAGTAGCTGTGTTGGGCAGCAAGTGCCTCGACCTCGCTTCTGTAAACAATTTGCCAAACAATGTCAGCAAAGAGCGGGCCCCCAATCGCTGTAAGATCAAAAACAGCAACTGACCTGAGAGAGGAGCCAATCCAATGGGGAACAGCAGCAAATGTAATGATACCCCAGAAGGCCTGATGAGAAATGGGGATAATGTCACAAGCTTCATCTAGAATTGGCGTGACCCTCTGTCGGACCTGCTCTGTAATAGTATGAAGGTCGCCTTCAGCGGAGGCTAGCCTGATCAGTATGTTTTCCCGGCCAGGTACGAGAACAGGTCCTTAGCACCGGGTCATCAAGAATTTCACCATAAGCCTCAAACGTGGCTTCTGCCTGGCACCTGGCAACAGCAAACTGTATCGGCTCCCTAGCTCGATCTGACAGGCTGCTTCCTGAAGGCCCCTCAGCAGGACTATTGGTTGAAGCAGAAGCCGGGAGATCCTCCGGTTGGAGAGCAGTAACTGCATCATGTACTTGCTGCAGAACAGAAGCGCCCTCCGAGGCCCCACGGACAAGAACAGGAAGGCTCAACAGCTGCAACAGAAGGCGAGCGCTACTGCCACCTCTGTTATTCCGACCAGACTTGGCAACACGCGAAGTTGAAGCATATCGCCTATCTTGATTGCCCTTACTAGGCAAAACCGATCCTGTAGGACCTGAAGGGCTGAAGACAGAAAAGGCATTGAGTGCATAGCGTGGAGCACCTCCTGTGGCCGCATGGATTATCCTGCCGAGCGGGGAGCACTTTCCCGGGAGAGTAAACACAAGGGCCCGTAGAAGGGCCAGGGAGAAAAGTCCGAGAAGACCCCTGGCAAGTGGAACAATGAAAGCGGCAAGACGGAGAAGGATATGTACCCCAAAGTCGTCTGCTTGGCGCTCAGGGCCAACAAGACAGAGTGTTTGCAGATTCCTGGCCCATGCCCCAGAGCGACCGATGCATGTGTTTCGCGCCCAGGATAGGTCTGCAACAGAGAGTGATGCAAAGTCAAAAGAGGACATGCTTGAAATAGGAAAGCATGCCCAACCCCAAAAACAAGGGGAGGACAACTTCCTCGAAGAGGAACAAGTGGAGGAAGGCTGACCAGCACCCAAAACCCAAGGGGTGGCCAGTATCCCGCACTGCAAGAAGGAAGAAAAGCCAGGATGATGCCCGAAACCAGGGCAAGGGGAGATGCAGCCCCATTGAAAGCAGCTATCCTCGGCCCGCAACCCAGAGCCACCGATTTGCGTGTTTGGCGCCCGAAGATAGACTGGCAAAGAAAGGCCAATGCAACCAAAAATGTCTAGCATGAAAGGTCTGGCAGAGGCATCTTTAAAATATTCGTGAAAGAGATGGCTGCGCCCAAGGGCTATGTACAGCCTACAGTGAAACGAAAGAGTCTGCAGCGGGTCGACGACAGCAACTCCAGGAGAAGTGTCTTGACCAAGCTGCGCAACAGAGACCGGAGCTTCCAGCAGCTCCGAGCTCTTGGGGCAGCATAGCCGACAGAGATCTCCCGGGTTGGCCGCCAATTCGCCTAGACTCTTCCATCTAACTCCTGTCACTCCAGGTTCCCAAAGCCAGGAGAGGGCGCCCCAGCATCTAGTTCGTCCATATCGTCGTCTATTATATTGCCTTGACCCGGCGGGACCGTCCGAGCATCTGTCGCGGTAGACGAAGAGGGCGGGGGCTCTGCAGAATCCGGGGGAGGATGAATCTCCACTTCCACAGCTGCTGCCTTGGGCGCCAGGCCGAAAGGGTGAACAGCCGATCGTCGCTCGATTCTTTTGGCTGACAGGCGCTCTGCGAGTTGAGCCTTCCCAGGCCCTGTGTCTGGCAGGTCGCTCTTGGGGGGGGTCATTGGTAGTCGTGTGGCCTGCCGAGGGGGCGTCGAAAAGACGGCATCGCCCGTTGGCACCGGCCTCGGTCCACTTTCGGTCCCTCGCGCCGCCTCGAGGGTCGGGTCCAGATGTGTGACTGGACTGGCCATGTAGGGATCTGCAAGAACCCCAGGAGACATCTGGTTGTAGCCGGGAGTTGTAGGACCGAATCCGGGTGGAGTGCGCAGTGCAGTCGGTGGAGGGGTTGTCGCTGTCCCAGAAGTAGTACCCGGTATAGTCTGCATTCTCTGTGCAGCCTGAATGGCCTCCTTGTAGAAGGCCGAAGTCTCGACAATCATGTCGTCGTTCATCAGGCGATCCCATTCCGTATCCTCTACTTCTCGGGGACCCCCAAGTTCTGCTGCTGCCGCCACCCCATTGAGTGCAATATGCTTGACTTTGGCAGCAGCCTGTCCACCAGCCAACTCCGCTTGCACAATGTCCTCGTTGAGTTTGGCCACATCCTGCTCGAACTGTTTCTTCTGCCGAGCGAAGTTTGCCTTTTGGCCCTGAACCCATTTCTCCCATTGCTTCTGTTTCAAAGCACGTTCGGACTGAAGTCTTCGCAACCTCGAGTCTGCTTTGCGAGCGGCAGTTAAAGCCTTCTGAACCGCATTCATCACCACAGAATGCTCTGGCATGGCAACCGTCGAGGAGTGCCAGGGGTAGGGCTCGGCCCCCCGTATCTTTTGGTCCTCCGCGTCGACCTGGGTCTTGTCGTACCTGGAGGAGGGGCTGGTGTCTCGGTTCCTGGGCGACACAGCCCAAGATCCCTGCCAGTAGCGGTACGAAGGCTCTGCACGGCCACGGTAGCTTGAGGCAGACCAATCCTTCTCTGCCTTGGCTTTTCCCCATTTTCCCATGCCAACCCCGGCCGGACCGGAGTGGTGGAAGTGGAGCCTGGCCCAGTCCCGAAAGGCTGGGACTGCTCCTTCACTTCGGGCCTTACGGACCCTCTGTCGCGCAGCTGACCTTTTTTGCCTCAGCCGCCGATGCCACGAAGGGGATGGCGTGGCCTACTGATGTGCGTGCCCTTTGGGCACTGGGGCTACAGTAGATCCAGCTGCTATCGCTGGCGATCTGAGCCCTTGTGTGTGTATATATATATGTAAGTAGATGTTATTGCGATCATGGTTCGTATTGTTATGATGATGGCTGTTGTTCTCATTACTGTCGTTATCATTGCTAATAGACTAATGTTGTAATGTTGTTGTGAGTAGTAAGTCTGTTGCTAACGTGGCATTGTTTCTATTATTTGCATGACTGTTTCTATTCTGAAGCTGTTATCACGGTTATTGTACGACATGATTGCGAGTATCATTTCTCTTGCTATTGCGGCAAGATTGTTATGCATCTGCGGCTCGACCCCACCCTGATACAAACAGTGGCAGATCGTGCGGGCTTCCTTTTTGCTCTTGACAGTCCACTTTTTTCTTGTCTTGTTTGTCTTGAGACCAGGCTTTGGCAGTGTTCCTCATGGCGCCCAAGCGATTTTCGGAGATCATGGGCCTCGGCAGGCCTTCTTGTTGCCGTGTGTCCCCCAATGAGTACCGCCGTCCTGCATCCAGCTGAATGCTGATTGTTCAGGCCACCTGCTCAAAGTAAAGCACAGTGACGAAGGGCTGAAACTCAGCAAGGTTAATGGATTTGTTTATTGCAGTCTCAATGCAACAATTCTTGCGATGACGATGCAGCCGATCAACTGATACAAGCCACCATTTGACAGCTTTGATACGCAGAGTCCGTCTTACAGTCTTCTAGCTTGTCTCGATCGGCTGTTATCGTCCTGTGCACTTCCAAGCAGCGTGCTGGAACGATTTAATCTTGGTTGTGGACATCTCTTGCTTAGTGCCTGGAGGGCACCAAAAGGTGGTTGTTGCCGTCAAGACCAGCGTGTCTCGCCTCTTTTGTGATTCAGCCAGCCAGAAGCCATAGCTCAAGTTCTACGTTTCTTCCCTAAGGCATGCTGTGTGCTGTGATTGACAGGGCAACTTTGCGGATGCCATGCTCTGCACTGGTGCTCGCAAGTGAAGCGTGGCCTCAAATCCGAAGCTTATCAAAACCGTCTTTGCCATTAGGGATCGCAAGAGCGGCTGTTGTTGTCTTGCAGCTAACAGGGTCCGTTTCACCATACGCATCGCTATCTCCTGATTAAGCGCAATGCTTTTGCGGATTCTCAGAGTGCCCAGTGAACGTCCTCTGCAGAGGACGTGTACGTGATTTCCGAGTCGGCCTACGGGCTGCGAGGCCGCTGTAAGTGGATCCGCAAGCGTTTTGGCTTTTGGCGTTTGCCCCCCAGAGGAGATCAGAAGCCACTGCACTTCAGCAGGCCTTCCATTTGGCTTCAGCTGACTCCCTTCTGTGGAAAGGGACAGTTAGCGGGCACCCCGACAGGCAGCGCGACCGTTTCAAGCCCTTCCTGGCTCAAGTTGAACATGCCTTCGCCCTAGGCTCTGCACCGTGAAAGGCTGGGTAGCCCACACATGCATGGGCCAAGATCCTCTTGGACAATTGCACAAAGTATTCGTCTGCGATTTCGAAGATGCGTCGAGAGCCAGATGCTGATTACATCATGTGTTCACGGAAACCCTTTTGCTGCACAATTCTGGAGTTTGAGAGGACCAACAAGGGCAAGAAGAAAGGTGGGGTGCGCACCCCCGGTTCAGAGAAGAGAAATCGACTGCACTTTGGCCATGACCAGCAGTACCTTGACCTTTTGGCAGACAATGTTTTCCGCGGAGAGCATCCAGCGAATCTGCGTGCTGAAAACACTCATTCAGAGGCCAGCTGGCTAATCCATCTTATTCACATGGTTGTGCCATTTTGCAATTGCCTGCCGGTTCATGCGGCCACAGCTGAAGAGGCGTCCGGAAATTCCTGATGATGCGCTTCTGATTTTTTCTGACCTGGACGAGGTGAGGGCCCCAAACCCGATCCCCAGTCCCCAAACCCCTGAACCCAAAGCTAACCTTTTTTTCAGTCATCTTGGCGGACCACTGCCAGGTGCCCTCTGCCCAGGCATGCGGCAAAGAGTTGGTTTTCGCCAGTGTTTCAATGTTAGTGTCGGATTCAGAATCTAGGCCTTTGCAATGGGTGTACAAACCAGGTTGCCGGAACATCACCGTTTCTGCACCATGCTGCCTTGGCTTCGCTTGTGGGCAGTTGGGCAGGTCTGTGGCCGAAGGCATTATGATCACAACATGCATCGGGTGAATATGAGAAAGTGTTTTACGACAGCCATTGTTTTGCGAACGAACACTATTCGTCGTTTGTTACACCAGGAGGTATGGAAAGCAGATGAATTATCGGCAATTCGCCTTCGTCGGACTGGGATTCGAGGTCGTGCGAAGGTGATGCATGTTGTATGCAGCGTTGTGCACCCAATAGCCGTACGTTTAGCACAAAGTCAGACAAGGACAAACATTTCACAGTCGGAGATTCTACATCCAAGCCTGGAGTCTGCCGGCGGCAACGGAATACAACACCCAGAGTGTAGCTCTCCAGTGACAGCAGACTGGCTCGGTATCAGCTTACAACACTCTTGTGTCCTCCTGCCTGGACGAGGCCATTCAGATGCTGAGGCTCTGCAAGACAAAGTCCAGTGCCAAGGCTTGAGGGTCTTCAGACTTCAGCTGTTGTGTTTGCATTGCTTGGTTTCGTTTGAGCTGCCCAGCCTTCACGATGGCAGGATGGGCCATGGATCCAGGCCCACTATCCTCTGCCGTACAACCTCCGGGCCGATCGCTCTGCCCGTGTTCGGCCAAATCTAACGATTTTTTTTAGGATTGGGCCGTTGAGCTCTTCAGGTTGGGTGCAAGGCAAGAAAGAAGACTGAGCTGCCGCCCCAAGAAAGCATGCTTCCTACTCGCTTGGATCCATTCCGGCATCCCTCAGCCCCTGCCTTCAGGTTGCACTACCAGGGGGTGCCAAGCTCCGGAATTGGCTCTTCGATTTGCATCCCAAGCCCAGCTGCAAAGGTCTTCACCACCATGGGGTTCTTGCGCCGGAAGAGGGGCCTAGCGCTGCGGCGCGCCCCCGGCTTGGTCCGTTTTCAAATGCATGAAGGGGGTCCGCTCCCTGAGGTACAACATGAGGAAGAACTTGATCGTGCTGGGGCCTGGGCTTCCTTATTGAGTGTTATTGGGCGTGTACATAGCCCCAGCATATCCCGGGGCAGGCCGAGAGCCGGCATTCACCTGACCTATGTTGGTACGGCCCTAGGGCTCTTGGCTCAGTTGCGGGTAAAGTGCATGCGATTGTCTCGCCGAAGGCTCGCGTGCAGATGTCGACTACAAGCTTCTACATCACGGTGGCGGGTTCAGAGATCGCTGGTGTCGCGGAGACAGAACGCCTGCTGCCCTTGTTGTCACCATACTTCAGGCGAAAGCGGTCAGGCAGGCAGCTTCATGGTCGTGACAGTGCTGCAGCAAGCCGGCTAGAGCTAATGCATAGACGACGATTCGAGCTGTGATGGACCAAACCGAAGTGCCCCTTTCAGTTCGTGCCCTTGGTTGCCCTGTGGCATCGACGGCGTGTCGACATGGGCTCGATGGAAGAGATGGCACCAATTGACTCGAAAAGTTCGGAAGGACCGAGCGGTGGAATCGCACCGCCTCCCGTGACTCAGCGTGAGCTTCGGCAGCTCGGCTTGACGAAACTCTCTGATGCAGAGGCATTCGCCCAGCTCATCTTCCACTTGGGTTGCCTGGCCGTTTGTGCAACGGTTGTTATGTGGGCATACGAGCGGGGACACTGGGGGCTGTTGCTGTTGTCTTACATTCCCTTTGGTGTTGTCGAGTCCTTCCTTTTCAATGGCTTCCACGAATGTGTCCACAACACTGCCTTCGAAACGAAGATGCTCAACACTGCTTTCGCCCATCTGCTTGGATTTGAGAACTTCCGTGGAGCGAAATGGTTTTGGTGCTTCCACTGGTCGCATCACCGCTTCACAAATGACCCAGACAAAGATCCAGAGCTGAGCGGAGAAAGCGTGGACTTGGATGATCCCACAAAGTCACTCAAAGGATACCTGCAGTTCGTAAGTGGCTACCCATTTGGCTTTGAGCGAGTGCTGCGCATGGCACGAACAGCTCTTTACAACGAAGTTGACCCATGGGTTGCAGAGAAACCTATTGCCACACAGCAGTTTGTGCGAATGGAGTCGGCCGCGTACCTGTGCGGCTACGTTTCTCTCGCAGTTGCTGGGCTTCTGTGGTGGCGTACAGTAGGTGTGAAGCTTGTCCTTCTATGGATCGTGCCGCACTGCGTCGGTGCTGGCCATTTGCGGCTCTACCAGTTCGCAGAGCACAGAGCATGCAAAATGGGCCGGTACACCGACACAAATGCTTGGATCTGTGCCAGGACTACGTCGACTTGGTGGTTGTACAGGAAGCTCGCATGGTACATGCCCTTTCATGCTCCTTGGCACAAAACTGGCTTCGAGTTTCGGTCCGTCCCTACACAGCCCTCACAAGGTGGGCATCAAAGGTCCTGTCTTTTGTCGCCTCTGTCTTAACCAGCCGGACCAGCCACTGTTTCATGTGAATCTGTTAGTATCAGGTCGAGCATCATGCCTTTCCCAACGTGCCCTTCCACAAGCTGGAGTCTGCTCATGAACTTGTGAAAGCCACTTACCAGAAGCAGGGTATGGAAAGTGTTCCGACTGGCTGCGATCCTCCAGGATCAGATGGCTATTCGGGTCTTCATTGGGTCATGTTCAAGCGCATGCTCAACAACACCTTCTCCAAGGAAATCAAGAGGACATGACCGTTTCCTGGAAGCCCATCTTCTGTTTCCGCAGATGTAGCCAGTCTGACTACTGTACCTACAGATGTACAGAGACGTCTTCTTTTGTGCAGAAATGGCTGGGAAACTGCCAAGTCGAATCTTACACGAGTCCAGCACCAGCTTGACACTGAGGTCTCGTTCCAGACCCAGTTTTCGCGGACAGTGATGTTAGGAGCAGTTTGCTTGCGCAAAGAGACGTAGTTAGGGTAGTGCATAAGCCAGTCGCACAATCCGGTGCAGTCTTGTCACGTCGTGGACACATCGGCTCTTCGAAAAAAATCGACAGGTCCTTGCCACCAAAGCAACAGCCAATGGCAAGAGACTAAACTTCTGTGAGGCCTGTGTTTGTACTCAATTTAGCGTCCTATTTGTTGCCGTGCTGATGTCAGATCGACGAAAAGACTCTGGCATCGATGGAGAAGCTTCTGCGCGACAACCCGGCAGCATGCCCAGACTACACTGTGCTTCGGGACAGATGTTCAGCATGAATTCGCCGAGCCACCGTCTTTCATCGTCCAAGGTTTCTGTGGCACGGGCGTGGGAGCGAGGCAGCAAAGGTTCTGAGTTCTGAACATGTTTCGCTCACCGTCGGCCAATCTTGACTGCAGGCAAGTCCTCAGTGCTTCGGAAGGAACCTGCGGGTGAGCTCTCGAAATGCCAAGTGTCCGATGCTTTGTTTTTCAAATCGCTTCACATGGAGAAGGATCGTTTATCAGCAGATGGGATTTAGGCCTTGGGCACTTCTCACACATCCAGAGTCTGCCTTGCCTGTTTGCCTCATAGCTCTGGCGATCGGCTCAGCTTTGCTATTGCCCTCTGGCGACTATCGCGCTACGATCAGGCGCTATCCTCATTTCTGGGGAAGAGCGACAGAATGATTTCCAGATCCAGACCGTTTCACATTCTTACTTGAAAGGTGCAAAGCTCACCAGACATTGGTTAAATGATTTTTTCCGAAATTTTGGTATGATCTTCACTAAAAAATGATATGATGATGTAAGATGATTTCTGAAATTACAGCAATGAGAATCTAGATTTTAAGATGAAGGGATTTTTATCATAATGGGGAGGGAGAAGAAAACTGTTTTTTAGTTCCGTATACTTTTTCATAATAGAAGAAAACGAAACGTTGCAGCTGACCCTTTTTTCGTGTGGTTATCCTCGGGCCAGCATGTCCTCTAAATTTCTGGAAAATTTTGGAGGGCTTTGCGAATGTGCCTCCCAACAATGAAGATTTCTCGGAAATTTAGAGGCCTGGGAGTTGCGTTTCGAGGCGTTGTTCTTTCTACCGAAAATTTCGGGAATTTTATTACCGGGAGCTTGTCCCCCCAAGCTACCAAAATTTCGAAATTTTAATACCGCGAGATTTCTTAAAGCTACCAAAAATTTCGGAAATTGCAGTACCGGGAAAAAAGGGATGCCGGTACTAAAATTTCCGAAATTTTAGTGCCGCGAGACAAGCACACAAGAGGCTTTCAAAAAGAAACGCGTTAAAAAGACGAGGTTACAAGGGCTAGGGGCGCGTACAAAAAAAGAGGCGACTAATATGATATCATTTCATAAGAGGATTAATATAAATCGATTAAAAAGAATTTTCAATTTGTTTCTAATCTATCAAATATATGTTTAAAAATTTAATCTCAAATCGATATATTTATTATTATCGAGATTTTGAATAGATATACCGATTATAATGAAATTTTCATAAAATACGATATATAAATATAAAATTAGAAAAAAATTGATATTTTAATTGAAAATATTAATAATATCATTATATATAGAGCGAGAGATAGATATATTATATATAAATAGATATATATTTTATATTTATTCTGAAAGATTAAATATTTGAAAAATATATCGAAAAAATATTATTAAGAAATATTTAATAGAATATTATTTAGATGATGAGATAATGCTATTTTTAAAATAAATTCTATGGATTATAAAATAGAATATTTTATGGAGGTTAGATAATGATTCTGAGCTTTGATTGGGTTTATTTGGCCAGCCCGCAACGGAACCGAGTTTGACACCGCAGCTGCGGGTTTAGACGGCTCTGGTTCCGTTCTGGAACCGGTGCCGAAGCTTTTGACTTCTTTCGTAGGCTGTGCTGACCCGCAGCTTTCTTCCTGATATCTCGAGGCGTGGCGTTCTTTGCCCCTCCCTCCGTATGCGGTGCTTGCCCGTTGCCCGACCAGGTCGGCGACGGCGACACCGTAGACGAAGCTCCGGGTCTTTCCGGTTTTGGTCGACTTCAAGGTCTGCCCGCCCGGTGCTTATTCTGACCCGGTGGCTTTTCCCGCTTCCTGTTCCCGTGCCTAGGTCGCCGGACAAGAAGCTCTTCTTCTTCTTCTCATTCAAGGCGCCGATCTCCTTCGCGATGCTCTCACACGCATCCACGCATCCGAGGACCGCGTTTGCACTGCAGTTGCCTACAAGGCTGTCTTCAGTTTGCATTTCCACTGCTTCTACATACGTGTATCTGTTCTTCTTTGAGCTTTCGCTTTCTCTCGCAGCCGCTCTGCTCTGATGTATATAGATGCTGCCCGCGCACATTGCCGTTTGCATTTACATCATGACGGGCAAGGCGGATGCTCCTAGCACTTCTCGGCCGGCTGCTGAGGAACCGGTTGACACTCCGGTGCCGGCACCGAACCCGGTGTTGTCTCCCTCCTCCGACGAGACCACGGAGGCAGCTTTGGAGGAGTCGGCCCCTGTGTCGCCGTCCCCGGCCGACACCGCCCTTGCTGCGTCCGTCGCTTTGCCGGCCGAGGGCGACTCCGGCACCGTGGCTGGTTCTCGGGCACCGGAGGCCTGGGCGGCCATATGTCCTTCTTGGACCGCCCCCAGGAGGCTCGACAGTCGGCACTGGCGTCATTGCCTATGTCCGACCTGATCCGCTTAACACTTGAAGCCTCCGCTACCGCCCTCGGCCGGCTGAGCTGGTACGAAGGTACCTCCGTGTCCGTCTCCCCGATCCGTAACCCACCGCCTGGACGGCTGGTTCTCCGCGCAGTACCTGTTGTGAAAGAGCCGCCGCCCA